CTTCTAACAGTTCCGAAGCGGAACGGGGCCGTCAGCCTGTGGAGCGGATGGGTTGAAGCTGACCTAGAATCGGCGTCCGGGACTTTCAAATTGCTAACGGCGCTTAAAGACGCGGGAACAGTCTACACCACCAGCTTGACGTCAGCACTTTTGAGTTATCCTTGGACGTTCCGTTGTCATTCTCTCTCACAGGCCACACAAGCCGCACACTCTTTACCACGAGATTAGCACGCTAGGCTATCACCCTGAGTGAAAATACGAGGTTCAACCTTGGCTTGGTGAGATTGTTACGAGAAAAGGAATTCCGTGACTGTTATCATGCAATTCAAGTCGGAAGTGCGAAAGTCGTCTCAAAGTCTCGTGCCCCTCAACCTCCCTCCAAGGTCGGAATGTACCAAGAACCGAGCTGTACTCCGTCGTTTGATGAACGACGGCTTCGCAAGAAGCGGCGCTTCTCGGGGGTTCTGAAGCCCCATTCCGAGGTCATAATCTTTCTTGCGATCTTGCGGCTTGAAAGTCTCTCTTTGGACAAACTGACTTTTGCTTGCTCTACAGGCATGATTGCTGGAGATCAATCGGCCAATCTTATCATACTGGAGAAACATCTCTTGAACAAATGGAGCTTGTAGCTGTGCAGGCTACCGTTCCTAAACCTTTGTTCTCATTCTTTGCGTCTGACCAAATTCGCGGACGGGCCCCCACAGTCAAAGCCAACCCTTTATGAACCATCCTTTTCCAAAGCCTTCTTCCTTGGAAACGATCAGCTCAAGCAATCCAGAACTTGAGTAGGGAGACGTGTTAAGCGCTTCTCTTTGAGCGAGCCGTAAACAAAAATGGCGTCCAGAACGATCGCCGCTCTCTTGGGCTTGCTTATGGTGGGAGCGCTAGGCCGCGAGGTGAGTCAACCCGCCCATAACGACGCGACTCTTATAAGAAGAAAGCCTAAAAGCACTTTTTCCTCCACTCTAATTCCGTTCCAGAAAGGGGTTTTTCGGAACAAACCCATTGCATTCGCATAAACGTCTTCATGTCACAGACTCAAGTAGAAACTTGGCTTACAAGGAGTCACACTAGAGTCTTCAGGAGCCAATTTCTCCCCAGCTGGCTGCATGAACAATCAGGACGCGGGACTGTGGTGATCCAGTCAAGTTATCTTGTAAAGTTGGAATGATCTCGAAGCAGCTACTTTGAAGTTCTGCTTGATTGTGATTGATCTTTATTCTTGGTAAGACCGCCATTTGTGATTTCTGTATAGGTGAACGGCGCTCGTCTACCGAAGCAGGGAAGCAGGGACGTGGCTAAACCGAGCGAGGTCATTTCTACCAGCTCGCGCAAGCTGCTACAGAACGCAGGTATAACACACAGTTTCTACTGGGTTTGATTCCTCCTGAGAAGCTTTCACGAAATGCCTTTGCTGGACTTGATTTGATCGGCGTGTTTTGAACCCAGTTAGGTCGTCTATGGCAAGCATGCGGGTTAATTCCGACTTTAAGCAGCTCCTCTACAGTCTCTCTCTCGTCGCACATGACTTCAGAACCCGCCACTGACCTAGACCCGCTTTCAAAAAGCCCTTCTAATTCACGGACATGAACTCTCCTCTGGAAGTTGTTCCTAGCTATTTGATGACTCTCCAAATCAGTTGATCTGACCTATTCAGGAAAGCTGAAAGGCAAGAACGACTGCGCTGCGTTTTTCAAATGAACATCAGTTCACCAGCTGATATATTGGCAAACAATACACTGCCCAAATCACAGAAAGCCATATTGGCTCCTAACCAGGGGTTACCAGACTGAGTCTCTGGTTATTAGACATCCAACCCGGCTTTAATCTTGTTCCGGGGCTGGTTCAAGTTAGTCATTGGACATATAATCATTCTCTACCAGCTCATAACCAGCCCATAACCATCCATGGTTAAGGGCCAAAAGCTTCTGTGAAACGCAGTGGCCGGGAACGATCAACACCGGTTACTGTACATTCCTTCCTTCCCTCTTCGCAGGCTCCTGCGCCTTCGTGAACGCCCCGAGCGCTTCTGGCGCCGACGGGGGCGTGAACCCCAACGGTGTTCTCTGCCGATTCTTCTTCTCCCAGATTTCATTATGATGCAGCGTACCAAACTTCGTCTGCCCCACCGGCGCAAACCTTACCATCGACGCGTTAAATGCTGGCAAATGTCAGGTATTTGTGGGCGTCCCGGCTACCGTTCCCCCGGTCTCACCCGTCGCCGTTACCCCGGTGTCTCCCACTACCGTTGCCCCGGTCTTTCCCACTACCGTTGCCCCTGTCACTCCCACTACCGTTGCCCCGGTCACTATTACCCCAGCTCCCCCGGTCACTCCCACTACCGTTTCCCCGGTCTCTGTTCCGACCCCTGTCGCGCCCGGCCCTACTTCCCCGGGCCCATTGGCTGGGCCCGTCCCGGCGCCGGCCGGTTTCGCGGGCGCCGCCTTCCCCGGCGCACCTACAGGTACCTACCGGACGCTTTTCTTCTGACAATCTTCTTTTGTTAAAAGGCACTTACCCAGACACTTGATCGGGCCGGGTTTGGCGTAGACCTAGTCCTGGTACTTGTACGACTCCTCGCTGTGTTTCGTTCCAAAGCAGAGCCAATATTAAGTGGGCTCTTGATCTTGTATCTCAAGGACACTAATTTCCGGCTAAAAAGTCCCCAGACAATGATGATTGCCAGTACTTTGTAAGTCTTCCTGACGTCTTGCAAGCTCCATAAATTTACCGAGAAGCGGCGAGATTGTACGAAGTTTCACAATCGCTGATACTCAAACCCACCTTTCTCTTCCCGCACCCAGGCGCTGGCGGGTTCCCGGCGGGCCTCTTGCCCGCCCGCTGATTTCCCGGCCATGGCGTGACTCTCCTCCAAAGACAAATCCGCCTGTAATCCGTCCGTCGTCAACGGGGGAGTCGTCACCCGGTCGCTTCGTGTTCGGGCATTGATAGAAGGTCGTATACTCAACCCGAGACTAGCTGGGTGTTCCACTTAGTATATTTTCGTCTCCTACTCAACTCGCCGTTCAGAATAGCTGGTTAGGAGCACAATGAGGTTTTGAAAGCAGAATAATTGACAAAGATATTATAGTATGTTTCCGCCCACATACTAGAAAGAGCGACGCTTCTTCTCCTCAAACAATCACCATTTCAGCTGCCATGCTGCGTTTGGTGGTATGATTTTATTGCCGTCCAATTCATGACAGAACTTGCTGAAATTCGAAGGCACGAGCCTGTGTAGGCCAGCCATATTCTTTCGGACTCTTTCACCTGCGACATCTCGATCCAATTGATGCATGCTGTAACTTGGGGTCGACCTGGTTCACACGTACAAGCTTGCCTTGGTGAAGACAGAGCTGCACTTACTTCACTATCCACTACTTGAAATGCTAAGCTTAATATCCTTCTAACCCTATTTTCCACTGCGAAGAAGAACGCAGAAAGTAAGCTGCGCGCGCACATGCATCACTGCTTCGGCGCAAACTTTGATTGGCAGCCGCGCGCGCATTGGAGGGGCCCCGACAATTCCTCAAACCAGGAAAAAGCGGCCACAAACAGAGGAACGCGCGCTTTCGCTAGTCCGGGACCCATTGCATTGGAAAAGGTCGGATGCATCCAAAATATATACATGATGACGGTCAAGGTTATAGCTCCCAAGCTCAGGGGTACTGGGCGGCTTGAAGCTTTCCAACAATGTGAAAATGTTCGCTTTATTGAGAGCCATTCATTTTCCAAGTGCCAGTGGAAGGCAGGACTGTGCGAGCAGCGGACTGGCCGACCGGGCGCGCTGCGGCGGAACGAGGCTCCCGTTCCGCACCGGTTTGAGGGGTGAGCTGGCGGATCGGACCGGCAAAGCTACACGCGCAACGAAACGGCTCGACTGAAAGTGCAGCCGAAGAATGCAACGGGGTCCGCTGCCGCGGAACCGGACCCGATTCCATACCGGAATGAGCCACGAGCTGGCGGAACGACCGGCTGACGCTCACGCACAACGCGGCCGCGGCAGACAAAGCCCGCAGCGGAACGGCATGGCTGCACATTGCAGCGAAACCGGACCCGGTTCCGCACCGGGATAGACTTCAAGCTGGCGGAACGGACTGGCTGACCAGCTAAGCCGCACACGCCCAACGGACAAACGGAACGCTCGACTAAGCGTGCAGCGTAATAGCCAACCTTGGCGCGCTTTAGCGGATCGGGCCCGGTTCAGTGTTGGACTGGGCCTTCAAGCTAGCGAAATGGAACGGGTGAGCTTCGCGGACAACGGAACGGCCTGGCCGGCATTCAGCGGAATGCCCGACGGGGCGCGCTGCAGCGGAAAGGCACATATTCCGATCCGGAACGGGGCCGTCAGCCTGGCGGAACGGATCGGCTGAGGCTGAACTAGAACCGGCGTCCGGGACGTGAATTTGCTGACGGCGCCTGAAAACGAGGGAGCAATCTCCACCACCAGCTTGAATTTAGTTCCGTGATTTCTTCTGGACTAAGCCTTGGCCGTTCCCTTCTCATTTGCTTCCGCAGTCGCACACGCCACACGCTATTTGATTTTCCACGAGACTGCCACGCTACACTATCAGCCTGAGCGAGAATACCAGGTACAACCTTGGCTTGGTGAAGAATGGTTACGGGAAAAATGAATGCAGTGAATCAGGCGTTTCACGTTAGAAGTGCGGAACTCCTCTCAAACTCTGGTGGGCCTCGAGCGACCTCCAAGGTCGGGCCACAAGGCCCCGAATGCACCTCTGTCGTTGCTTGAACAGGGTTATCGTCGGCTTTGCAAGAAGCAGATCTTGTTGGGTGATGCGGAATGCCGCGCCCGGGCTTTCGAGGTCAATGCTTTTGTTGATACCAGATTGGGAGGTCGAGAGCAGCAGAATTCAACTATGCAGGCTGCTCCAAGGTCGCAGCTCTTCGCAGAAAGCCTGAAACAAGTTTCTGACTCAACGGAGTATGTTGCTGTGTTTTGCAAGCTACCGTTTCTGTCGCTGGCTCTTTAGTGTATTGGCTCTGACCAATAGTGCGGACGTGCCCTCGTAAGCGAGATCAACGATACCTATCCCGCAATCTTCTCCAAAGAATTCGTCCGTTGCAAAACCAAACTGAAACAACCCTGAACCTCGACAGTGATGTCAAGCTTTTCTCGTCGCACGCCTTGTTTGGATGCCAGAATGGCGTCCAGAGCGATTATCGCTTTCGTGGGCTTGCGCCTGGTGGGAGCTTTGGGCGGCGAGGTGAGTCAGTAAGCCCATAAGCAGCTCATATAACTTACAATTTCTGGGATGTCCACGTAAGATTGATCCCGATAATCTGCTTACACGGATTGGCTTTGATCGATCTGCACCTCATTCAGGCTGTCAGAACCAAATAAAAAACATAGGCTAAGCTGTCTATGCCAATCATTTTCAAGGAAAAAAGCGGAAGAATTTCGTCTTTGAAACGGGGCCGTTCGAGCACACCAATGAAGATACCTAGCTTCTCATCATGCTCCGGTCCATTCAAGGATCCAGCATTGATGAAAGGAACTCAACAAGAGTTTGGTGTCGAGTGGTTCATTCTCCCCCTTTGCACTGTCTCTTGGACATCTGCCAGAATGACACGTGGTTAAAGGTTTCCTCCACGATCCAACATGCAGCTTCTCCCGACCATCCTGCCAGGTTTAGTGTCACCTAATTTAGAATAATTTCAGTCGGCAGCAGACTGATTAACTTAGACTAGTTTTCCCACTAAAACTGGCAAGATGGTCGGGAGAAGCATATGGAGGAGACCGTAACCAGATGATGATCCCTGTACCTAAAAACGTGAAGCTGATGCTTAATCGAAAACATACATAGGAACTGAAAAATGGGAGTTATGATCCGTCGTATTGCATTCGCTAAACTCAACCTGATGGTGAAGAGTCATTTTGCCCAAAACACATGCTTCTTCTCTGCAAGTGCACGGTACTCATGTACAGAAGCATTCAGGCGGGACCTACTCGAGCAGCCAAGTGGGCGGAATCAATTCAGCCCGCTCGCGCAAGTTGTTGCAACGAGGGGAACCAGGTAGTGCTCAAAGCTCCCAGACGCCAAGGAATCCGAGGTCAATCTAATGTGCAAATGTTTTTGCTAAGCTGACTCTGTTATCAGCTCTCAAGAATATCCCCAGTCGTTGTATCGTTGGTTATATAGCTTATTTCTTCGCATCTCGTCATACATCCTCGTAGAAGTACCAGCCACGGATTAAGCCCCTCTTCGTTAAATTGCCTCACAAACAACGTTGATGCTCAGGTAATCTCGATTCAAAAGGAAGCTCGATGATTTCAGTGTGCTGCTTGTCAACCGGTTCTTCTCCTCCAAATCGAACCGGCGTAGAACAAGACCCCTCAAGATAAGAAACTCATTTTTGAAATCGACGACTTTGCTATCTAGATAGCTCCCAGACTGAAGCTTGATTGAAGCAATATATATCGCCTGCCCTTTCGCAATTACCGCTAACCCATCGTCAGCACCGGTCATCGTTCTGTTCGAAGCGCTACTTTCCTTGCAGGCGGCCTAGGGTGCTGCCCCTTCCCTGCCAAGAACGGCAGTACCCTAGACGGGGTGCTTTGCGGTATCAACTACGCATCCGATCTCAACTACTACCTCTGCTGCCCCCAGGACTCCGTTTTCTGCCCCCAGCACGCCTTTCCTTCATGTAAATATCTTCCCCGGGGGTCGGTCTGTGTTGAGACACCAGCCCCGACCTTGGAACCGACCAATGCCCCAAGTCCTACCGGTTCTCCAATCCCGACTTTCTTTCTAACCCCTTCCGCCGTAAGCCCGATTTCCCCGGGCCCCTTCACCCGGCCCAGCCTGGCCGCTTTCGCAGCCGCCCCGACTCCTGGGGCCGCTACGGGTTCG